GGCTTCCCAAGACCCCACTTTCTTAAAGGAAAACTAAATTATATTTGTTTTGAGAAGATACATTATTACATTCATCTTTCAAGATTTGCCACATCTTAAAGGATGAGAAACACATCAGAGGATGAGAAATACCCCGGTGAGCTCAGCTGCCTGGAGGGCTGTCCACTGCAGAAAGCGCAAGTACATTCTTTTACGCCGGACACCAAGGCCGAGCCTCCCAGAACCCACCTTCATCACTCAATCCCTGCGCCAAGGCTCAGTCACAAGATAAGCAAGGTAGCACAACTGTTCAGTTCCTAAGAGGAGTTTGGGCCGAAAGAAAGGCTCAAGGTTCTTGTCTGTGGTCTCACAGGCAAGCAAGAAAAACACGTGAGACATTTATATTATATCCCTTCTTCCATTTGATCTTTCCTTCCTTCCTTCCCCCTCAACAGCTTCAGAGGAGTGGGAAGCCTGACAGCAGTGGACTGAAGAGGTCATCATAAAAACTGACTACATGTATAAACTTTTCCTAAAGAAAGGTAGTTGGAATATGAAAAATGATGAGAGAATACTACAAGCAACTACATGCCAGCAAACTAGAAAATCTATTAGATGGGATGGACAAATTTCTGGACACACACAAGTTACCTAGGCAGAACCAGGAATAGAAAGCCTGAACAGACCAATAACAAATGATGAGATTAAGTCAGCAATAAAGTCTTCCAATGAAGAAAAGTAAAAAAGCAAAAAGAAAAGAAATTTACCTAGGAAAGTAAGGATCTGAAATGAGGAGGTTTTTTCTTTTTTCTTTTTACTTGTTTGGTCTTTTATTTTCATAAATCTTATTTTGTAGTTTACATCAACAGTTAATATTTTAGCCCTACTATTTTAAGTAAATGCATAATTTTTTAAATACCACAAGGGGGTGCTAGTTAACAATATAATAACACAACCTTTTTTTTTTAAATTTTTTTAGTCTAGTGTTACACTTTTCTTTTCTGACTGTCCCATCCAAAGTATGTCTCCTGTCAAATATCTGAAATATACATCTAGTTCATTTATAGATAATAAGTGCTACTAATAATTCAAAGTCGTTAAAGACCTTATGTAGGGGCCAGCCTGTGGCCTAGTGGTTAAGGTGGCTGGTTCCCACATGGCTGACCATGCAGTCTGAGTCCCAGCCCTGGCAGTTTGAGAAATACACTGGGCATATGTGCCTGTGTACTTGCATTTCCAAAATCCTGAAAGGAAGTAGACAGAGAGGAGAAGGGACTGAGGTTGACCGTCCCCACAGGGGTGCTCTCTTGTGTTCTTACTCTCTTTCTCTCTGTGTCCCTTTAACCAGCATATGTGCCCTCTGGCAAATAAATAATCTTATGTAGATCAAACACTTTTGTAAGAAAACTAAATATATACTGATACAGCCATATTAAGAAACAATTTCTGCTCCAGAAATTGTTATTTTAGTAACACAGGCATAATGAGGTTACAGAAATAAGAAATAGAGACGATGTCCTACACTTTATGATAAACTCTGAGTGCTATGAAATGAAAGGCACACGACTAAGCCTCGGATCTGGGTTTTGGGTACATCGATGCCACTAACGAACCGGGTGGCAGCTTTTCCTTTGGGATTCGTTTTGTATAAAACGAGACGCCTGAACTAGAGGGCGACTGAGGAGCCATCAGGTCTAAAGTCCTACGATTCAAACTGAAGTGGACTTGGTTTCTGAATACTAACTCCTAAGGTTAAGCGAACACTCCCTTCAGGGATCTTATGGTTTTGCACGGTTTAGATTCCCGGGGGGGACAGACATCAGCTGGCAGCAATTTCTCTGTCACAATGCAAGAAGAATTGCTGTTTCCATTAACTCTTCCACTGACAAGCAACAGCCCAAACTCCCTATGAAATAAAGTGACTTTAAGATAATACATGAACTACAAACCTAAAAATTTTAAAAGACAGTTTGCTAAAAACACCTCTAACACAAAAGCACTAATCTAGCAGCAATTTAATTTTTCCCCATTCAATTCTAACCTCTTGGGAGCATCTTTAAATTCCTGAATAAACTCCTCAGGGGACCATCCGTCAAAACTGTACTTTGTTCAACTAAAAATATATAAGGATAAGGCATACGGCCACTACACATAACTACAATTATATTCACTTTCAATGAACTTCCAGGAGAAGCCTTACGCAGGTGCTCACGTCACCACTCAGACCCTGCTCTATGCATCTTATATGAAGACTGTGCTTCCTTGAGTATGCACTTCTCCGGATAATAAGGAAAAATCGGAGATCAATAGAGAAGGCTTTACATAGGCAATCACTCTGTTCTAAAGTTTACGCCACTGACATAAAGACTGACATATCTACCACTCTGGATTCATAATAGGAGCTTTTCAGACTCAGGCTACCTACTATTCGCTTGAAAATACCTCCAAAAATCAGACACTTGCCAATATGTAATACAGACAAATCCCAATGTTTAGCGTCTCTTTTTGTTTTGACTATGTCAAAATGAATAAAAGGATAATAAGATATTGTTCTGTTTCCTTGTATTATAAAATAATTCTTGAAATGTTGGCTATTTCATAGCTTAGTTAAAATCTTTATTATTTATTGTGCAGGTAAAATTGAGCCTGTTCTTTGTACAATTTGTTTCCCAGGTCCAGCAGATGGCATAATAGTTACATGGCTGGACTCCCATGTAGTAGACCGCAGTTCGAGTTCCAGATCTGGCAGCTTAAAACTGATGCCGGGTGTGTGTGCATGCCCAAAATCCCGAGAGGAGAATAGAGAAGGAATTGCGGTTTGGCCATCCCCTTGGGGGGGTGGGGGTATTGATTTCTCACTTTCTGTATCTCTGTCTCTCCAGCAAGCACAAGTACCCTAGAACAAAAATCTCTCATAAAAAAAGTATTGTTTCTCAAGCACGCCTAGCTAAAAGCAATCACCTTCTTATCTGACAAATGTTCTATGCATTCTGGGAGAAATAAATTATTTAATGCTATATTTCATATTTAAAATAGTATTACATACAAATGTACTTTGGAACCCTACATTCTACACATAACAAAGTATGTTTATTAAATTATTTAGAAGCAGGGCCCGCAGGTAGCATGCTGGTTAAGGTGCTGGATTCATGTATGGCTAGCTGTGGTTCGAGACCCAGATCTGGAGGTTTGAAAATCACACAGGCAAACATGCATGCATGCCCAAAAATCCCAGAAGGAGAAAAAAGAAGAGAAGGAATTGTGGTGTGGCCATCCACACTGGGTTGTGATTTCTCACTCTCCCTCTCTTTCTGTCTCTCTCTGGTGAGCGCACACACCTTATGGTAAAAGCCTTTAAAAAAAAAATGGGGCCAGCAGGTGGCATGGTGGTTTAAGGGCACTGGAATCCCACATGGCCAACTATAGTTCGAGAGCCAGACCTGGAAGTTTGCTTTCTTACTTTCCTGCTCTCTCTCTCTGGAAATATTAAAATAATAATAACGAATAAAAGTTAAATAAAATAATTCTTCAAAAGAAAAAGAAATAAAAATTTAGTACCTATAGGTAAACCTTACTAAATCAGACTAATAAAAATGGAAATAAACCTATTTCTTAAAAACATATCATTCAGATTTTCTAGTAATAAGGAATATCTGAATGAATGAAATAGGTTATGTTCAACTCACCTGGAGAAAGAAGAGCTGCCCTCTGGATGGTCTTCAGTGCAGTGATCTTTTCCTCTTCTGCTGAACTGCTTCCCATGGCCAACTGATTCACTGCAGTGTACAGTAACGCCTTCTACATACGGGAAAAGGAGCGTGTTAACCTTCTCTGCATAACTCCTCGTCTTTCAAACTGACTAAAAAGACTGTGTTTGATATATGACCACTAATGCAATAAAGAAATACTATTTTACTCTTTCATCGATATCATTTAACAAGTTAAACATCTCCTTTGTACTGGGGCACACTAACCTTTCCATGATTTGAATCCAGAATATGAGCCACATTTCCTGCTACAGCACCTCCCTAAGATAGAAAATATTATTAGGCGAATGCAGAATAGCTCAAAAACAGTGAAAATTAAGAAAAATAAAATCTTCCCATTAAATCATTTGAATTGTTATCACATTTGCAACTTTTAAACTTCTCAAGTATCAAGTTACTATTACTCTTTAAAAAAAACAGGTTGGGGCAAGCAAGTGGCGTAGTGGTTAAGGCACTGAACAATCCCACATGGCTGACCACAGTTCGAGTCCCGGACCTTGTGGCTTGCTTCCTCACTTTCTCTCTCTTTCTCTCTGTCTCTCTCTCTCCGGTCATATTAAAAAAATGAATGAATAAATAAAATTAATTATTAAAAAAAAGGTTAATATCTTTGTAAAAAATAAATCTTTTCTACTGTGATTATTTCAACTTTTTAAAAAAATATTAATTATGTGACCAGCAGATGGCGTAATGGTTAGGTCGCTGGACTCCCATGTAGTCTACTGGGGTTCAAATCTCAGACCCATCAGCTGAAAAGACACAGTGGGCACATATGTGTGTGTGCCCAAAATCCTGGGAGGAGAAAGGAGGAGGAGGGATTGCGGCATGCCCATCTCCTCCAACATACACACACCAGGGGTGATTTCTCGCTGTCTCTTTGTCTCTCCAGTGAGCACATGTGCACTATAGCAAAAATCTCTTTTAAAAAAAAAATTCATTAAAGGTTCAAAGGTTATATTATTTTACAACGTTACTAAACAAATGTACTAATTTTCTAACAATATAAAAGAGATTGTAGGGACCAGCAGTTGGTGTAATGGCTATGCTACTGGGCTGGATGTAGTTGACTGTGGTTCAAGTCCCAGACCCGGTGGCTTAAACTCACGCCAGGGGCGTGTGCGGGCAGGCCCAAGATCCCAAGAGGAGAATGGAGGAGAAGGGATTGCAGCGTGGCTATTCCCCCTGGGGGGTGACTTCTTGCTTTCTGTCTCTCTGTCTCTATCTTTCTGGTGAGTGCATGCAAAAAGACTGTGAGGGCCAGTTGGTGGCATAGTGGTTATGGCGCTGGACTCCCACATGGCTAAACGGTTTGAGTCACAGACCAGGGAACTTGAAAATAACACAGGGATGTGTGTCCAAAAATCCAGGAGGAGAATGCTGGAGAAAGCATTGTGATGTAGCCATCCTCTCTAAGGGGTGATTTCTCACTTTCCATCTCACTGTCTCTCTCTGGCTTTTTCTGGTGAGCGCACACACCCTATTGAGGGGGGGTTTAGGAAGGAGGATTATGGAAAAAAGACTGAAAAGGAGAGAGAGGAAAAGCAAGAACACAAAGATAAACTAACACAGTTTTCCTCTATGAAATAATACTTTAAAAAATTTTATAATCTCTAGTAAAATAAATATCAAAACCACGAAGTTCATCAATGCTTCAATAATCAACTCAATATTAAAAGTAGGCAAAATATATGTAGCACCATGGACTTTATGTAAGGTCAGCTTGAAATCCACAATTTAAAAAATCCAATTAGTAGATAGTTTACCTGGAAAAGATATTAACGACGTACCAGGCCCAAACTGGAATCCAGAGAGGCAAGTGGGAAGGAAAGTCACTTCTGCCATTTGTAAATCCTAACGAATTTTAACTTTCATCTTAAGGGAATCACGGGTTAGTGGGATAGAAATTAAAGTCCAGTGCCAAAACAAGGAGGAGCATGTGTAAGAAACCCACGTCAGGGACCAGCAGATGGCATAATGGTTAAGTTGCTGGACTCCCATGTAGTCGTCTGCAGTTGAAGTCCCAGGTACAGTGGCTTAAAATTTACATGGGCACATATGTGTGCATGCCCAAAATACCGAGAAGAGAATGGAGGAGAAGGGATTGCAACATGGCCATTCTCCCTCAGAGGGTGATTTCTCACTTTCTGTCTGTCTCTCTGGCAAGCACACATACCCTATAGCAAAAATCTTTCTAAAAATGGAAAAAGAAACCCACATCAGAATAAGCTGAGACCCACAAGAGCCTACATCCTCAAATTCAGGATAATTAGAATTAAGTCAGGTTTCAAATGACTTTGCAAACCAGACATAGAGTAGCCTGGCTGGTGAAGAAACCTAAGCTCTAAATCTTGTTCAAGGTAGAACCAGACTGGTAGAGTTCCCAAGCATCTGACAGAGAAGCAGACACAAATGCTTTCCTGTAATTTCCTATAGAAAGGTACCTTAATCCTAGGCCTTCAATTATTCCTACAAATAATATCCAAGTACACATATCAGGTAAACAAAGAAACAAAGTCACCATGAGTAACAACCAATAAAATTAATAACAGAAACAGACCCTCAAAGACTTCAGATACTGGAATTACTACACTCACTATTATGTAAGTGTTAAAAACATATTCGTTATTATAACTAGTTTATCAACCAGTTAAGAAAACTATGAACAAACATATTAACTGTGGAAATTAACAGAATACAGACTCCTGAAGGTATCTAGCTGCTGCAAATTAAAATATAGTCTATAATCTTTTATAGAACATGAAAGATTTCATGTTTGTACTTTTGGACATTAGCAGTGTTCCAGCTCTTATTGTCTTAACTTTAAGCTTTTAAATGAAATTATTATTTGCAGAGACCAGCATTTGGCATAATGGCTATGTCGCTGGACTCCCATGTAGTTGATCGCAGTTCGAGTTTTGGACCTGGTGGCTTAAACTCATGCCGGGCGTGTGTGCAGGCGTGTCCAAGATCCAGAGAGAAGAATGGAATAGAAGGGACTGTGGCATGGATTCCCCTGGGAGGTGATTTCTCACTTTCTGTCTCTCTGTCTCTCTCTTTCTGGCAAGCGCACAAGCCCTACAGCAAAAACCTCTGCAGAAAAAAAAGAAATATAATTATTATTTTGGATTTAAAAATATAATAGTTAATGGTTATTGAATGGCAAATGTTACTTTATTACATGGTCATTAACATAACCTGTAAGTGTTGAAAAAGGTCCTCCTAGTTCTCTGTAATACCCAGGAAAGTACAATAATACACAGAGGAAACTCAGTCTAGTACTTGTTGAATGACTAATGGAATATTGGGTTAATTAACAGAACTCCCTTTACTGTATTATCTTTCAGAAAAATAATGCTGTATTTTAAAATTATAATATTTACCACATCATCAGTTAGTCTATCTTTTTGCCAGAATTTAAAATATGACTTTCTTTCAATCACTGTGAATATCACTATAGTGACTGAATACATAATTTTTAAATAAATAAACATTATAAAAAATATTTTTGAGAGGTTTTTGCTACAGGGTGCGAGCACTCACCAAAGAGACAGAGAGACAGAAAGCGAGAAATCACCCCCAGGGGGGATGGCCACGCTGCAATCCCTTCTTCTCCATTCTCCTATCGGGATCTTGGGCACACATGCACACGCGCCCAGCGTGAGGTTAAGTCACCCGGGTCTGGGACTCGAACCATGGTCGGCTACATGGGAGCCCAGTGACATAGCCATTACACTAACTGCTGGCCCCAACATTTAAGATTTTTTTAAATTATAGCACATATAAATATTCTCCAATTTCATATAAATAAATAAATTAAATCAAACATGACTTACCTTCGCATTTCGTTGAGTATACTGAGCAACAACTCGGGACAACAGAGACCAAAGAGCAGGGTCAGCTGGGTTACTATAGAGATCACAAGAACAGCAGACTTAGAGATAGGAGTTAGTTAACCACAAAAAGTACAAACATTCATATTTCATTAAGTTTAAAACCTTTTGGACACCCAAAGCAAGTTCATACTGACTGTCCATATTTGGTTGAAAGTGTCTCTTTCTTAAAATTGTTATAGGGCATGTGTGCTCACCAGAGACAAAGTTAGAGGGGGAAAGTGAGATAGCACTGCCCGGGAGGAAAAGCCATGCTGCAATCCCCTCTCGGTATTTTGGGCACACACACAAGTGCCTGATGTGTTTCTGAAGCTGCCAGGTCCAGGACTCCAACTGTGCAGTCAGTCATGTAGGATCAAGCAACCTTCACTTCCACTCCATTTGCTGAACCCAAATGTCTTAATATTTGGAAAACATACCATAGGGCCAGCAGGTGGCATGGTGGTTAAGGTGCTGGACTCCCATGTGGCCAACTGCGGTTCAAATCCTGGATCTGGTGACCCAAAACTCATGCTTAGCACATGTGAGTGCATGTCCAAAGTCCAGATGGAGGTGAAGGGATTGCAGCATGGCCATTCCT